AGCTTCAGTATCTTGCTAGTTGGCCCCGCTGGCTCTCAAAATACCTGAACAATGCCTGCATCCAATCAGATTGTTCAGGTATATTGAGAACGAGCAGGGCCGACTAGCAAGATACTGAAGCTTGGCCCAGTGGGAGATTCCTCCATCCACACAGTTTAGTGTAGACCCCTCCTGGCCCAGTAAATTGCATTCCCTGCCCCTTTGTGAGATGTAGCTGTGGGGCAGGGAATGTGCCCCTTCATAACTGATTGGGCTGGCAGGGGTGTCAGTCACAGTTTTTTGTGGGCTTGGGTAAACTCTGGTGAACTGGTTGCCCACCACACCCAAAATTGGCCACAGGCAATCTTTTAAAACCTTTTACCACTCATCAATTAAGTGTTATCAGTGATCGATGGCCCTGAAATAATTGCTTGCACCCTTATGTTCGTGATATGTGCGGCGTAATGGGCGCAATCGTCATTTTTGCACGTAGGCGCACACGACACATGTTTGTGCGTGTATGTGGGGGTGGGGGACTTTAAAATGTTTCTGGTATTTTTGTGACTATTTTTGGTTTGTTTTTACACTCAACTTTATTGTTATCACATAGGGGAAAAAGAAGCCCCCTATGTGATCAAATTACAGTGACAGGTCATCTTTATGGAGACATCGGGGGTCTCTAAGACCCCTAATGTCAACTAGGGACCCCCAAAGAAGCTGATGAAGCAGAGACCTCTGTAGCCGGAGGGTGGCAGCTGAATGCGGAAGTGATGTGATAAACACCACTTCCACACTCACAACACTGGATGGGAGATCGTGTACTGAACTCCCTGCACAGAGCCACAGTGCCGGTCCCGGTCTACAGACGCCGGACCGCTTGCTTGTAAACAGCCATTGTTGGCTGTTTCAAATTTTGACAGTTTCCCGCCTGTATGCGCCAGGTGGCACGCATGAGCGGGCACAAAGGATGTTTTACGACGGCCACCCGCATCTACAAGGCTACCGGTCGTTTTGCTACGCTTAGCGGATGGGAGGTGGTTCATATTTTTTTCTGGAGTTCTTCTTTAAAGAGGATTGTACAACCACATGGCAATATGTGTGGGGAGTTAAAGGGCCCATTCACACCAGCAGGCTGTGTTAAACACATAAGGGGTTATTCACAAAGGAGCCGAAGGATCCAGCCGCAGCTTTGGCTGATCCTTCGGCTCTCTTCGGCCGTCTAAGCCTTTTGGTTCAGTAGAACCGAAGGGCTGCTGTACGGGCTATTCACTATAAACCATACAGCAGCCGAGCCGAAGACTCTAGCAGGTGGCGGCCAATAGGAAACAGTTGGGCCAATTGTTACTGCACAATTGTTTTTATTATTATTTTTTTCTGAAATATCTTTATTTTTAATGTCAGTTTATTTACATTTTTTAAAAACATTTTAACCTTTTTTTGTTGTTCTATTTTCTATTCTGCTCGGCACCACGGTGGTACGGAGCAGAAAAGCCAAGCCGAATGCCGCTCGGCAGAATTCGTCTATTCACTCACTGCCGTTTGGCCCCTATGTGAGATGTTGGATCGGCTGAGTCGAAGTCCTTTTGCAGAGCATGTTCGGCTGACCAAAGGTGGCCGATGTAAGGCTGAAATCAGCTGCATTAAGCTGGAGTGAATAGCCGAACGTAGTTTGGCTCTGTTCACTTTGGCTCGGTTATTCACTCGGCTGCCTCCGGCAGTTTAGTGATTAACCCCCAAAGTGCTGGTATACGTTGACAAGCACACTGCTGATTAACTGATCCCAGCTTTTCACACTGTTTACTATTGTTTTCCTAAGTGACATTTCATTATGTCCTCTTGGCACTGCGCGGTGCAATGCAGTTGTAGGGCGTCACATCATGCAGCGCTGAAAATAAATACTGCATACCATACTTTTTTCAATACACATTACCACGATATGGCGTGAACTGTGCCCATTTAAAACAAGCACATTGCCTTGTCTATGCACTTGGGCTGTACCTGACCTAACGCTTCTGGTGTGAATGGACCCTCATATATACAACAAACATAAAGGCATGCATACCAGGCACATATGCCATGTATGTAAGTTTTCCATAGAGAAGAACTACCCTGACACCATGCAAGACAACGTTTCATAATTTACACACAAATGACACCATCAGACTGGTCACGTGATCGTGACATCATAAAAAGTCAGTCTTTGCCCATGCCATGCCCTGAACCCTAGTAAGTGGGCGGCTCCCGCTTTTCGTGACCCCGCCCATTCTGGCAGCCTCTCTCGTGTGAATGGCTGCAGTTTGAATCTGCAGGAAAGGGGAGGAGACGAGCGGCAATGTGCTGAAAGCAACACGGAAAGCGGCGGCCCAGGTCCTCTGCATATTCCTGTACCGGCCCATAGACAAAGCCGGTGATGTGTCTCTTGTCCTTCAATGTACACACAGCGGGGACAGCGTGCTGCAGAGCCCGGCGGCACAGGGACACACACTGAGCGCTGGGGGGACAGGTCCATTGAAGTGCCCCCGGCATCCCTTTAGGTGTGCACACTTCTTACTCGTCCCATTGTGTCAGCCGAGCTCGCATCCTGTACGGTGGTTTTTCAGCAGCCAGCTTACAAAGCTGGTGATGTAGACCAAGGTGGTGTGCGTTTTATCTGCATGCTAACGCACTGCAGCACTTTGCCGCATAAAAGTTAGGTCTTGTTCACAGCAAGTGCGGAGCAGTTATAGAATGCATCAAAAATGCATCAATGGTATTTTGGGCTCTTGTTCACGTCACAACAAAAAATGCAGCATGCCCTAATTTTTCTGCTCTGGAATACATCGAAACGCATGCAAATGCACGGAAAGCCCATGTTAGGCTTAAAATAAAAATGGACCGGAACACGGCAAAATGCACTGTATATGCAGAAACTCATGCGGAGTTGGCGTGAACAAGCCCCTAAAGTTGGACTGAAGCCAACATTTTTGTATTTGTTTTGGACAGAGTAAGAGAGGGTTATAAACAGCTTTTTTTATTCCACTCTGTATCCCACTGGGGAGATTTCTTTTCACTTCCTGTCCTATAGCCACAACAGGAAGTGATGGAAAGTTACAAAATGTCAAGAAGGGAACTTGGTAAAGAACAGCGAACGGACTGGGCTCATATAAAGTGCACCAGTACCGTGATACTTCTGTGCTATGCCAGCAGGAAGTGTTTAAAGTATTTGCATAACCAGACACTTAAATCTCTTGTACTCCATGTGATTTCACTTCTCATTGGCTCAGGGGCAGTGCAGGCTACTTCTCATTGGCTCAGGGGCAGTGCAGGCTACTTCTCATTAGCACATGGGCAGCACAGGCTACTTCTTATTGGGTCAGGGGCAGTGCACGCTACTTCTCATTGGGTCAGGGGCAGTGCAGGCTACTTCTCATTGGGTCAGGGGCAGTGCAGGCTACTTCTCATTGGCTTAGGGGCAGTGCCGACTACTCATTAGCACATGGGCAGTGCAGGCTACTTCTCATTGGCTCAGGGGCAGTGCAGGCTACTTCTCATTAGCACATGGGCAGCACAGGCTACTTCTTATTGGGTCAGGGGCAGTGCAGGCTACTTCTCATTGGCTTAGGGGCAGTGCTGACTACTCATTAGCACATGGGCAGTGCAGGCTACTTCTCATTGGCTCAGGGGCAGTGCAGGCTACTTCTCATTGGCTCAGAGGCAGTGCAGGCTACTTCTCATTAGCACATGGGCAATGGAGGCTAAAATATCAGTTTGCTGCCCCATTCCCGCCATCGCTTTTTAGTATCATGCATCACTTCACACGCTGCTGCATGCGTTATATGAATTTGTGCAATTATAAACACAAAACTGTGAACTTTGTGTAGCTTGAAGCTCAAAGTTCCAAACCGCTTAACTAGCAAAAATCCCATGCTTTTAAATTGTGCCTGTTCACATATGAGCACTCAGCAGGGGTGTATCTATGGAAAATAGTGCCTATGGCAAGCACTGAAATTGTGCCCCTGAACAAACCTCTCATGTACATGCATGCACTATACTGGCCCTGACATACGTATATAGATGACCTGCCAATGAAGTGGCCATCTGTACAATGTATTTATTGTACTATAGCAAAGATGACACTGAGAAGTAGTATGAACTGCTCCCAACCCAATGACAAGTAGTATGCACTGCCTCTTGGCCAATGAGAAGTAGCCCGCACTGTCCTTGAGCCAATGAGAAGTAGTATGCGCTGAGCCAATGAGAAATAGCCTACAATGATTTTTAGACATTGAGAAGTATTATGCACTGCTCCTGACCCAATGAGAAGTAATCTTCACTGCCTCTTTGCCAAGAAGAAGTAGCCTGAAGTGCCCCTGAGCCAAACAGATAAAGCCAGCAATGACTCTAAGGCAATGAGAAGTAATAGCCACTGCCCCAATAAGAAGTAGCCTGAACCAATGAGAAATAGCCTACAATGATTCTTAGCCAATGAGAAGCAGCCTGCACTGCCCTTAAGCTAATGAGAAGTAGCATGCTCTCCTCCTGACCCAATAAGAAGTAGCCCGCACTGCCCCTGTGCCAATGAGAAGTAGCCTGACCTGCCCCTCAGCCAATGAGAAGTAGTCCGCAGCGCCCGAGCCCGCGCCCCCCAGCGCTCAGCAGGGAGAAGCACAGACACGTCTATAGGGACGCCAGGGATGCCGGTCTGACTGCACGAACGTCTGTAGCGGAGACAGGAGAGCCCTCTTCCCCATTCCTTTCTTCTACGTCAGCCGCCCATAGTACTCCGAGAGCAGAGCGGGGCCGACCGGGTGACAGCGGGGCTCAGCGCTCTGGGTCACTTCAGGCTAGTTGTGTGATCGGGGCAGTGATGAGCAGCAACGTGGACTGTACCATTGTGTCCGGCTCCTTTGTCATTGGCTACCTGCAGACACAATGAGGGATGGCACACTGATCCCCGCTGGCGATGCCACCTGCCCATCCCGGGAACACTGATCAGCTCCGGGCTGGGTACCAAGTCCGCTCAGCTTGTCAGGTGCTGTGGTGATCAGATGGTGCTAGTTACCTGCACGAGTCGCCGAGTCCTATAGGAGGCACACAGTCCTGCAGCTTACTGTAGCTTTGATCTGAACACGGGTGTGATGGAAGGCGCTGCCGGCTCGGTGAAAGCCAGGTCTGGATCTAGAAGTGCTGGCAAGGGCAGCTGTGATGGCGGAGTCGCCAGTCCTAGCCCGGGGTGCCTCGGACTGACCGTATGTGGGCGCAGCTCACCGCCCGGCCCGGACTTCCAACCGCAGTACAAGTTGGACGACTTTGACACTGTGGCCACCGTGGGTGAGTTTTCCACATGTGCTTCTGTTGTCATGCTGATCACACATTGTACAATCTGATTGTAAGTTCTCCTGTAAGAGTGACACACGTTGTACAATCTGATTGTAAGATCTCCTGTAAGAGTGACACACGTACAATCTGATTGTAAGTTCTCCTGTAAGAGTGACACACACTGTACAATCTGATTGTAAGATATCCTGTAAGAGTGACACACACTGTACAATCTGATTGTAAGATCTCCTGTAAGAGTGACACACACTGTACAATCTGATTGTAAGTTCTCCTGTAAGAGTGACACACACTGTACAATCTGATTGTAAGATCTCCTGTAAGAGTGACACACACTGTACAATCTGATTGTACGATCTCCTGTAAAGGTGCCCATACACTGCTCGATTCACGTACGAGAATCGCGGGAAATCCTGCGACTCGACGATAATCGAGCAGTGTGAACGAAGACGTGCGACCGTTTCTACTGTACGGTCACACGTCTTTTGTCTAAGGAGCACGCTAGAAAACCAGCCGAGAATCGTACGATTTTCGGCTGGTTTGAACGGTGCTCGGGAGACAAATGCCGAACGGGCCGGTGTGCGCACGCGCACTGCCCGTTCAGCATTGCGGTCATCGGAAGCCCGCCCCTCAGGGGGACGGGCTTGCGATGATCGAGAGTACGATCTGCCTGTCCAAGATGGGCAGATCGTACGTTTTTTTTAATTACTTTACAACCATCGCAAGACTAAGGTCACCTTTAGAGTGACACACGCTGTACAATCTGATTGTAAGATCTCCTGTAAGAGTGACACGTTGTACAATCTGATTGTAAGTTCTCCTGTAAGAGTGACACACGTTGTGCAATCTGATTGTGACAGAGCACCCTTCCTTTGTATTCCTCTTAAAGGGGAAGCCCACCCTTTGCTTTTTTTTAACCTCTCTTACCTGTGTCCTCAAGTCACCTGTCTAGTGAATCTAGTGTTGTCTCGGGTCTTGTATCGCCATCTTGTTCCTCCTCCATTATTGGGTGGCAGCTGCCCCCTGATGAAGTGTGTCAGGTCAGGCTGTATGTTCTCGCTCTTGCAGCCTCCCTGGATATAGAACGGTGACCTCCCACCCAGGAGCAGGAAACGTCATTGTTACCTGGACCCCCCCCACATAATAAAACATTATACAAAGGAAAGACTGAAGGTTCACTTTAAGAGCTCTCAGTGGGTGGGCTCTTGGGAGGAGTTATGCAAATACCAAAATGACTTGAAGAGTGGGTGTTCCTTGGCATGCAGACCGCCCACTCATGATCCTGAGCATCTCTGATTGAAAGAGCTGAAATCCAATGAATGGAAGGGGGCGGGACAGTAAGGATGGGGAGGAGATATACAGTCTACCCAAGATGATGCTGCACTTCTGTGGCCAGGAAATGAGGTGGGCTCAATCTGACAGGACAGGAAGTGAAGGGAAAGCACCTGAGCAAGGGGGAGGCCATTTATAGAACGCCTGGGGGATGCTGTTCTCACTAGCTCCCCTAGATGGCGCTGACGAGTATAGGGAATTCCTATACTGTATTAGTATATTCCTATACTCAGCAGCGCCATCTAGGGATGCTGGTGGCTTATCAACGTTTATAAATATCGCCCTAGGGCAGGGGTGGCAAACTCAAATTCATCGGGGGCCACATCAGCAGTATGGTTACCCTCAAAGGGCCGGTTGTATAGGACTATGCATCTACTCTTTATTATCATAAATAGTTGCCTCTGCATTCAGTTTCTACTGGTTTTATAAACTGCGCGTTTATTCGCGTGGGGCTGGTTTTATTTTTTTCTGTTTTTATTCACTTTATAAAAAATGTTCATTTGTTTTATTATTTTTACTTAATCACCTTTTTATTTTTTACATTTTTATTTAGTTGCATTTTTAATTAATAATATTTTTTTTACTTTTTTCTTTTTAACTATTTAAAAAAAAAAAACTTTTTATTGTATTGCTATCACACAGGGAATAATAATCCCCTGTGTAATAGCATTTGGAGGTGACAGGTACTCTTTATTGACCCTGTCACCTCCAACACAGGAGTTCTAGCATAGCACTGTTGCTAGAACTCCTGTGAGGCTGGGGGAGGTGACAGAGCCTGTCTCAGCTCCACCGTCCGGCTTCGTCACTGCTCCACGCCCCTCGCTCCGTCACGGCTCCACGCCCCTCGCTCCGTCACGGCTCCACGCCCCTCGCTCAGTCACGCCCTCTGCTCCGTCCCCATCTCATTCAACGCTTCGTCCCCGCCCCCCGCTTCGTCACAGCACCACGCCCCTCGCTCCGTCACGCCCTCTGCTCCGTCCCCATCTCATTCAGCGCTCCGTCCCCGCCCCCCGCTCTCGGCGCTCCACGCCCCCCCCGCTCGTAGCGTGGCTCTCGGCGCTCAAAGAAAGCCAGCCCTGCTACTTGTCCGTAGCAGGGCTAAAACAGTGCAAAAACCACTTGCCCGGCGCCCGGAACTACATGTCCCGGGCGTCGGGCGATACGAATTCCACACCCCTGCGCTGTGCGGGCCACATTACAAGGTCCGGCGGGCCGGATTCGGCCCGCGGGCCTTGTGTTTGCCACCCCTGCCCTAGGGTTTCCATTATGTTCAATGGTGCCCAGTCACACCTGAGCGCGGTGTCGCTTGAAGCTTGAGAAAGTACGTGTTTTTTGGGGGCAGAGTCCCTCCAATGGGAGCGTCTAGAAGAGAACTTTGGCCCAACCTTTTTTGGCCATAGTTCTCTTTAGGGTCACAAGAAGACATTTACTGTGTCCTCCTCTGGTGACCCAAAACTCAGCATATAGTAGGCTATTCCCCGCTAGATTCTGGCAGTGCAGATCAGTGCTGCGTCGGCAAAGATCCTGACAATATTGTCGGGATGCACCCTGCCAGCTGATTGACAGCCGGCTCGACCTCTCTATTATTGTTATTGTTATTATTATTATTAATAATAAAGCATAAATAAACAATAATAAATGCTGAAGCCTGAAACGTGGCAAAACAACTGGAAAAACAAACAAAGACACTTAGCTCAAGTGTAAGGCTAATTGGAGACAGATGATGATATCAAAACAGGGGCTCTAACCATTACTCATTCTATCCAAAATGAAAAACAAAAGACTTTTTTTGGATATACTTTATCACATTTCATGTTGTATCTAGAAAACATTTGCAGAGCCGTTCCTTCTGTGAAAATCGGACTTTTGCGTTCATCCCCCATTATGACCACTAGATGGAGCTGAGGAGCATAGGACATTCCTGTACTCTCACATCCCATCTAGTGGCCATAATGCGTTATGAATGTACAAGTCCGATTTTCGCACAATGAACAGCTCTGCAAATGTTTTAGATGTTTAGTATAAAAATGAAGCTGTTGCCTCCAGTAGCCGATCACGGGCTGGTTGTGTTTTTCTAATGCATTTAAGAAATGACGGGAGATGTCTGATTGGTTGCAGTAGGCATCAGCTCTGCTTTTTTTTTCCCTGTAGTATTTATAGATGAGCTCTTGGCAGATGAAGAATGCTGTGGTTTGCAATTAGATGTTTAGCCATTCAGGTATGCTCTTATTTTGTGCAGTGGTTGGATACGGCTGTGTATGCGTCTTTGTTTAGACTTTTTATATCTGCGTAGCACGTTTGCTTTTTTTGGCGCGACGTGTAAGAAGGTAGAATGGGCTGAAGAAAGCAGCTGATTGGTTACTATGGGCAACTGCTCCAGATTCTGTCTGCTCCAGTTTTGATACATTCCCCTAATACCTCACCAAAGACGCCCACTGGGACTTGTAGTTCCCTCCAGACTGTAAAGCTGAGAAGATCATATAGGCTGCCTTTCCTAACCTGACTATGAAAATGCTACTTGCCTGGCTGTCTAAGGTTTCAACGCTTTCTGAGCCAGCAAAGCCAGAATGCATCTGTGTAATTGTTCTGGGACGGTGACGCTAAGGGGCTGATCTTCACAGTGTTCGCCCAGCAAATAACTGAGTGAACGATCCCAGATGGCAAGCAATTGTGGTGCAAGTTTGAAAATGACTTGCTATACTATTGCAGACTTGCCAAGCTTCACAATTTTGTTGCACAATTACAGCAAGTCTGCATTGCAAGTCTCCAGATCAACGTGCTTTGCAAACACGCTATACACTTGCAGAGCTCTTGCTAAGACCTGCAGGTCTCTTGCTGTAGATTTGCCAAGCACATTTGCTACAAATTCGAAAGTGTCAACTAGAACTTGTGCTGCGAGTGTTCTGCAAGTCTACAACTTGCCAGGAATGTGTGTAGCAAGTTAACAAGAATTACAATTTAACCCTGGCACAAGTTTGTGGCACGTTATCCTTGCTATCTGGGATGTTCACAGATGATTACTGCTGCTAGATTGAGCCGAGGAGCATAGGGCATACCAATGCTCCATCTAGTGGCAGTAATGGACTGCCACTCAGCTATAGGCTAGGCCAAGGGCAAACTTACGCTAGTCCAGGGGTAGCCAAACTCCGGCACTCCAGCTGTGGTGGAACCTCAAATCCCATAAGGCATTGCATAATTCTCACAGCCACAGACATGACTCCCGAAGAGAGATGCATCATGGGATTTGTAGTTTCACCACAGCTTGAGAGCCGGGAGGTTTGCTACCCTTGCGCTAGGTGAACGTGTTAAAACTCGGCCCTAAGGTGCAACAAATCACCAGCGGCTGGTCCGTGTCCAGTATATGGCCAAATTTCATCATACAGACAATTTTGTAGCAGAGGTTAATCGCTGCTACAGATCGCTAATGGAGGCGATTAACAGTGTTTTGTAGCTAGCAGTTTAACCCCTCGCGTTACTATGAATTAATCGCTACAAATCGATTATTTGTTCCTGCTACAAGCTAAACCAGCATTTCAATCATGGCACCCTTTATAAAAAGTCTTGAGGCACCCCAAACCACAAAGTAAAAAAAAAAGTAAATGTAAACAACAACGTCTGGCACCTCCAAAATCCATACCAGACCCTTATCCCAGATAGGGGTC